TATAGTCTATCTGATGAAAAGAAACAATAAACAAGTAAACAAACATACAAACAAGATCATCATGGAGGCAGTCCGTGCTATGCTGCAAGCAAGCAAGATCATTTGGTGGCCAGGAAACTGTTTCAGCAGAAAGGACAGGTGCTATTGAGTTGGCATCTTTGTCACGTAAAACTGATAACAAAATGCAAGTTAGCTAAAATGCCCATTTGATGGGCAGAGAATTTGAGGCTCAGAGAAGCTAAAGAATGTGTTCAAGGTCACACCGCAAGTAAATGGGAAAACAGGGATTCAGGCCAAGGCCAGCAGACACTGAAAGCTCACATCAAAAGCTCTTGCTTTTTTTCCCCCCAGTCACACCACACTGCCTCTCTCCTGGGCCCTGGGCCATGTCTGCTGGAGCACTGGGGGAGATGGAGGCAGGGGGTTCAGGGCTGTGAGGTCTGGGCTGCCTGCTATTCTGTGACCACTATAACATACCCAACAATCTTACAAGCAGCCAAGGGCACTGCAGTGGCTCTCCTGGTCCCACCTCCCTCCTCCTTTAATTGATATGTCAACCTTCTGCCTCATTCCCTCCCATCCTGGACACCTGGCCTAGCAGTGCTCTCGGCAGAGACAGCTGATCTCCCCCTGTGCCCCTGAGCGCCCCCCAGCATGAAGACATAAAGTGATGTCATAGCAGACAGATGAGCATGCACTCTGTCAGCCCCTACTCTTTTCTTTCTGCTCCCTTTTCCCCCTCTTCTTCCCTCTGGCCTCTGCTTCCCTCCTCTTCCCCACCCTCATGCCCCCTCTTTCTCCCTCCCTCTGCCTCCTGCAGGCTTTGAGACCAAAGGGCCAATTAATCTTGCTGCCACCACCTTGGCCAAGCTGCGCACTGGCAGAGGCATCCCTACCAGGACTGCCTGCTTGGTCCCTGGAAACCATGGCTAATTGGTAAAAGATCACATTTGTTTTTCCACAGCCTGAACACTCCAAAGGAGGTTCTGCCAAGCCAAACCAAGAATTCCATTCTTCTGCATCAATCACCAGGGAGACTGCTGGGGTTACCTGTCACCCAGAGGGCGACATTCGGACCTGCTGTTCCTACCTTGACATGTGGGCTTTGCTGATGAGCATCATGGCTCCCAATTCCATACACACTCTCCAGCACTACACACAGCAGAATGCTCGAGAGCACTTGATTAATGTGCTGCAGGCTTGCTTTATTCAAGTAATTTTACATAAATATCTCATATAAACATCATGCAGGTCTTTTATTCTGAGGGAGTATGTTATATACCTGCTTCCTTTATGCAAGTGAGATGTTCCAGAAAGTTAAGTATCAATGAGATTCTCCCATTACATGTTTAGTCACATTTTAAATCGAACATAGGCAAGGCTTGCAAATTAACATGCAGCAAATCTCTGAACTCAGTTTCCTTACAAGAAAAATGGGTTTAATAATTTTTGTCCCAGCTAGCTTACAGGGCTGTTGAGAGACTTGTCGAATAAAATTTTAATTTTGTGGAGGTATTTCGTAACCTGCAAAGCACGTTATTACATCAAAGTAATGTTGTTGTTGCTAAAATGAAGACGTAGTTGGCCAAGTACATTACCACCTCCAAATAGAGGTTCTGTAATAATCCAATTTCCATATATTTGGTTTGCTAAGACAAAGATTATACTTACATGTTTTTTGGATCCAGGCAGGCCGGGATGGGGTCTCACTAAGCCTTCTGAGACTCGGGGAACACTTTGTGGTTGTCCCTGGCTATGACTTGCTATCTGCAGCAAAGAGCATCCTGTCTGAGGATGTCTATTAAAATCTTAATTTCAGGGCACCAGTTAACCTTGAGACCCCAGTTTATCTTCACCCTGATCAATATGAAATAATAAGAGTATGAGAATGAAGGAAAATCCCCAGAGCCTCCTTTGTTGGGGCCCCTTGAATCTTGGAATGTTCTCCATCCGAAACAGCTGGGAATTGTAGGGCGAGACAGACATGTGGGGGGGGGTGTTCCCCACCCAAGGGAGAAGCTGCTTGCTGCACAGAGTTCCTCTCTTGGTACACAACATTTTGAGGCAAAATTGAAAGATTGCCACTTGGGAGGGAATTTATTTTATTCAAATAATGGCACCAAATAGCAAGATGTATGACACATATTTCTGGGAAAGTGCTCCCCAGCAATCAGATGCCTGTCTGTGTTTGCTGTTCCCTTGGGACTGCCTGCAAGTACAGTCCCAAGGGCGATGTGAGTGTAGTTTCTAAATTATTTTCTGATGCTGTTTATGGAGGATGAGACTGTAGTTGGGGTGGGTAGTGGCAGGATGCAAGATCAATGGTGACTATGTCCTTATCATACATTTCAAAGACCTTGGGACATGGCTTTGCCTCTCAGAGAGAGACCAGTATCAACTCATCAGTCAGTACAGTTGTACGCAGTGACTCTGCTGGGCAAATCATCCTGTTAAGAGATATGGAAGAGACCCCCAAATATTTCCAACATAGACCAGAAGCTCTCACTTTGGCTGGAAAGGCAAGATGTTCTTGTCGGGTAAAGATAAGGGCCCATAAGTGAGCTAGGAGGAAGAAGCTAACTCTGTCCCATCTCCTGCCCGGACAGAGGTGCTTAAATTACATTATCCCATGTGATCATCATCACCAAGAGGTAACATTTTCGTCCCATTTTAGGGGTGAGAAGACTGAGAGCGGAGAGGTTACGTGACCTGCTCCAGGTCCCACAGCTGGTAAGTAGCAATGAAGTGTTCGTTCTTAGTCTGCTTAATTCTGAAGGGTCCAGAATCGAGGTGAAGTTTTCAAATTGACCTCCCTATCGATTTTGTCAGGGATAAGCACCAATTTTAGAAAAACAAAATAACATTTGGCTGCACTTCCTCTTATTCCATTCACTAAGTGGGGGTGGGGGTGGGGGAGCACTGAGGAAACCCTCGCTCTAGCTCCAAGCTTTAATATCCTTTCCTGTTGATAGACTATATTTCTAAGTAAGTAATTGTTCTTGTCCATTTGCATTTCCACCGCCAGGCTCTTTCCTGGCTGAATACTCCCTTCCCCCACTGCCATCTTCCCACGTGCATTTAGCTTCTCTCTCTCTCACCCTCCCCTCACACTCACACACACACACACACTCACTCACACACACACACACACACACACGCGCACGCGCGCGCGCACACACACATCCAGATGCACACCTTCCCACCACACACCCATATGCAAAATAAAATTAGAAATACTGCCCGACTCTCAAGGTATTTAGGGAATGGAGATCTTCAATCAATATAGCCCAAATCGAGCGCTCCAGGCTCCCTCCCTCCCCAGCCAGTGCGGGAGGCCGGCAGAGGGCCCAGACAGCCATGATCTTGACACAAAGCAGCTCTAAGGGGAAAAAGGCCACTTGAGCATCCCTATGTCCGCCCTGTAGCCACTTGGAGTCACAGAGCCACCCAATTCTCAGAAACCAACCTTTCACAGGCTATTCCTTTGCTTACATGTAAGACCCTTTGAGAACATGGAAAGCTTTCCCAGCCCCCTTTTCATTTGGGCGTACACTGATAAAATACTGAGAAAACAATGTCTGATGGTTCGAAACTATAGGCTGAGCTGCTAAGCATATGGTCTTCACGTTAAGGGATTGCTCTTGTTTTAATCAACCAGATGAGAAAGCAATAAACATTTATTATGTTAGCCTTCACCCAGAGGAGCGGAATAGGCCAGACAAGTGAGCTCTGACAGCCCAGAAAACTGAGGCAGTGGCGGCACCATTATTCCTGCAAAGTGTCTCTAAAGCTTTCTCTGCTCTGTCCCCAACCCCACTGACACACACTGGCCAACTGTCCCCGCCCTCTTGGTGCTCCTCAGTACCCACCTCAGAATAGAGGAGTCAGGAAGGGGAAGGACTGGAATGGGGAGGTGGGGGTGGGGGTCCAGGCAGGAGCTCCTGGTTCAAGCTCTGTGCCTGGATCAATTCTTCTGCAGGGACACCTGGGTGGCTTGATTAAGCGTCTGCCTTCGGCTCAGGTCATGATCCCAGGGTCCTGGGATTGAGCCCCGTATTGGGCTCCCTGCTCAGGCAGGAGCCTGCTTCTCCCTCTCCCTCTGCCTGCCGTTTCCCTGCTTGTACTCATGCTCTCTCTCTCTCTGTCAAATAAATAAATAAATAAATAAATAAATAAATTCTGCTGCTGTCCTCCCTTCTCCCAAATCAGAGCTCCCCCTGGATCTCAGGGTGATTCAAGTTGTATAGAGGCTGAAAGCATGTGCATTAGTTCGAATCCAGGCTCTGTTACTTCCCCGTTGTATGACCTTGGCCATGTGACTTAGATTCTCTGTGCCTCAACCTCCTCATCCATACAATGGGGATGATTAAACTTCTGCTGAGAGGGTTAACAAAGCTGTCTTATACTAAAGGCTTAGCACAGTGCCTGGTACATAACAAGAGCCCAGGAAATAGTGTCAATAATTATGAACTAATACTCAAATAGTGCTTACCATGGGCAGGCCCTGTTTAAGGGCTTTACATATATTGTCATAAAATTCTTACATCTCTGTTTTACAGATGAGGAAACTGGAATCTGAAGGTCACACAGCAGTGAATGCCGGACATTGAGACCCAGGCAGACAGGCTCCAGAGTTGGGGCTCTCAACCCCTGTGTGCATAACATCTTTGATCTTTATGGGTGTTGCCCCTAGCAAGCTGAGTTTTCAATCCCCCAGGCTTCCCTCCTTCCAAGAGAGTGGGGAGCGGGAGGGTGTCAGCCACATCGGGGAGGGAGGGAGCAGATGATGGCTAGGACATCCACATCAGCGCTGAATCCAGATCCCCCAGCTGGAATCGGTGGCTGAAGTCAGGCAGGGAGCCCCAGCCGGCTCCAGGGAAAAGGTGGGGGCAAGTCCACGATGCTGAGAGGGGTGGCCAGAGCGCCGCCCCCAGGAGGGGAGGGAAGGGTGGCGGGGTTGAGGGGTGCCCAGCTGCCATCCCCGCCGCCGCCTGGCCCCCACTCGCTGGCGCCCAAGTGGGAGGAAGGCAGCTGCCCGCTCCCTCCTCCCCACATCCCCGCTACCTGCCCAGTCCCCCGAAGCGAAGCGTGAGGAGGCTGCGAGCCAGCGGGGCCGAGCCCACAACTTTGCAGCCTTGGGGAGGGCGAGAGTCGGCGTCCAGGGCTCCTCTTGTCCGCGACCCGAGCTCGGTGAGTTCATTTCCTCACCCTCTGGGGCGGCTTCCCCAGCGTCCAGGAGGCGGTGGCCGAGGAGCCGGCGGCCGCCCGCGCCGCCAGCCTCGCTAGGGCTCCCGGCTGCGCCGCCCTCCACCGCGGGCGAGGCCGCCGCGGGTGCCGAGCCGACAGCTCCCCACGCCCCCCCCCCACCCCGCCGACCCGGCGGGCTCGGCGGTCAGCCGTCAGGTGCAGGGCCGGGCGCCGGGGGCGGGCGGCGGCGGTCCGCCCGCCGAGCGCCCCTCGCTCCCGCAGCCCCTGTCCGCCTTCCAGGCGCCGCGCCGCATCTGGAGGCTGCTCCTTCGCCCCCCTGGCGACCGGCGTGGGGAAGACACTTGCTTCGCCCGAGCCCGGAGCAGAGGGCTCTCTGGGGTGGGCAGCGCCGCCGCAGCCCCCGGGAGCGCCCTGTCGGGGGCGGTGCCGAGCCCCCAGCGACCACCCCCGGCGTGCTCTGGGCTAAGCCCCCGCCGCGGAGAGAGGCTCGTGCTCCCTTCAGCGGCCGCAGGTCCCCGGGGGCACTGGCAACTGCAAAGGGGACTCCAAGGTGATCAGTCGCCCAGCCCGAACGGGACAGCCTGGACCGAGGCCTCGTGGCCTTCGCCCATCTTGGGTGCAGCCGTCTTCCCAGAACTTTTCTTGCGCCTAGGGCTCGCCGACTCCTTAGCCCCTGGAAAAGTTCTCTCGGGTGCCAGGAATCCTATCTCCCGGTGGCTTCCGAAGCTGGGCAGGAACCAGGGCTTTGGGGGGGCAGGGTACAGTGGGGATGCGGTGGGGGTGCTCGGCAGCCGGGGTAGATCCGCGGAAAGCCTGGCAAGCATCCGCTCCTTCGCGCAGGGAGGGCTTGTTGGCAACGAAAGGGTTTCGGCGCCATCGGGGTTGTTTGGGTTTCTCCTTCCAGGAGGATGGGGGGAGGGCGCGAAGGGGGGATTTTAATTTCGTCGCTTCAAATGAAAACGCTCTTTGCAAAGAACTAGCCAGGGCAGCCAGCGACGGAGAGATGGGCTGACCAGGACCGGCTGATACAGGTATTCCGGCTGCGCCCCCCACTTCACCCGCTGCCTGAGCGCCTGTGTGAATGTATTGATTGTTTTAATTGATTTTTTTTTTTAAGCCAGGTGGCAGCGGCTGCATTTGTGATACACAGATATATACATACACAAACACAGATACCCAGGCGCACACAGATTACACGTACAGAGTCATACATAAGGAACACCCCCTCACACACACGCACACTCACCACACACACACAGATCACGGACCTCCAAGCATACATACCTCCCAAGAGCCTTGGGTTATGGGTGTGGTCCCTGAGTATTGCCCAAGACTGGGGGGGGGGTCAGAGGGTGAGAGAAAAGGAGGTGAAGCAGGACTACCAATAGGTCATTTCTCTCTGGCCCACTCCAAATTCTTTGCTTTCTCCTCCAAGGGGGTCTGAAGGAGAAATCCCAAACCTGGGCTCGCTTCCACTGCCATAAAGGAGCGGAGCCCAAGTCCCATGCCCCTCATCCCCTCCAGACAGCGAATAAGCCCTGCACTCACCCTCCTTGGGCCTGACCCCAGGGCTCCAGGGCCTCCAGGTCACTCAGAACCCGAGGGAGCGGGCACCTGGAGATAGGGCCTGACCCGCAGAGGACGTTTCGGTCTCGGGGTCTCACACCTGCTTTGTCCGGGTTTTGGGGAGAGGAGGGGTGATCCAAGGGACAGGGGTGGGGAGCTTGGGTTTGGGCAGGGTGGGACCGACGGACTGCGCCCCCCCCCCCCCCGGGCACCACAGTGAGTCTTCCTCTCACCCTGGGCCCCTTAGGAATGTAATCGAGGATGCTGGCCCTGAGGCTGCTCAACGTGGTGGCCCCCGCCTACTTCCTGTGCATCTCCCTGGTGACCTTGGCGCTGCAGCTCTTCCTCTTCCTGCCCAGCATGCGCCAGGACCCCGCAGCTGCCCGGCTCTTCCCTCCCGCGCTGCTCCACGGGGCGCTCTTCCTGTTCCTCTCCACCAATGCCCTGGGCAATTACGTCCTGGTCATCCAGAACTCCCCCGACGACCCGGATGCCTGCCAGGGGCCCCCGGCCAGGAGGGCCCCGTGCCCCCCGCCCAGCACCCACTTCTGCCGAGTGTGCGCCAGAGTCACCCTGCGGCATGACCATCACTGTTTCTTCACGGGCAACTGCATCGGCAGCAGGAACATGCGCAACTTCGTCCTGTTCTGCCTCTACACCTCCCTTGCCTGCCTCTACTCAATGGTGGCCGGCGTGGCCTACATCTCAGCGGCCCTTTCCACCTCCTTCGCCCACCCCTTGGCCTTCCTCACGCTCCTTCCCACCTCCATCAGCCAGTTCTTCTCCGGTGAGTGGGCCTTGGCCGGCAGGTTGGGCCCTACACAAGGACCCTCCACCCCCACCCCAAGTTTGCCAGATTTCGCAAATAAAAATACAGGATGCCCAGTTAAATCCTAACGTCAGATAAACAATGCATATAACTCTTTTGTATAAGTATGTCCTAAATATTGCATGGGGCATACTTAAATTTTAAAAATTCTGTGATCCAGGCACCTGGGTGGCTCAGTAGGTTAAGCAGCGGACTCTTGGTTTGGCTCAGGTCACGATCTCAGGGTCGTGAGAGCAAGCCTTGCTTCCTGCTTCCTGCTCTGCGCTCAGCCTTGATGATCCTCTCCCTCTGCCACCCGCCCCCACCCAGCGTGCTCTCTCTAAAATAAATAATCTTTTTAAAAAATAAAAAATAAATAAAAATTCTGTTATCTATCTGAAATTAAAATTAATTGGGCTTACTGTATTTTTCCCGGCCGCCTCCTTGTCCACTCCCCAGCCTCATTCATCACCTCCTCCTTGCTTGACACTAATTATTGGCACATAGCATTTCCTGAGGATCCAGGCAATACACCTGCTCTGCGCCAGGCAGGGCTGGGTGCTGACCTTCCCTCCATGCAGTTTGTGAGGCACACCCATGCTATGACCTTCCTCCGCCTGGACTCCAGTCCTGCTCACACATTCCCCCAAGGATTTTGTCCTCCAGAGGTCTTGCCAACCAACCACAGTAAGACTGATCAGGGTGCCAGGCCAGCCCCAGCAGGAGGCTAAGCCCTGCCCTCCTGCCCCCTATGTTTGTACCCACCAGCCTGAAGATGGCTTGGAGCAGGGGGCACCTGCTGGGACTGGCGTGGGATGTGACCCTCCAGGGAGGCTCTCGCACTTGCAGGAGCCAGGCCTGTGAGCCTTCCCACTGGCACTCAGCTGCACACCCTGTGGGGACTGTACTTTGTATAGTGTGCCCCAGGGAAAGCTCCTTGGTTCCTGGCCTAGAGGGACCTGGCTCCTGGTGGCAGTTCTTACCACTTTACCTGGCCTTGAAATTTGTCCTTACCTCACTTCCTTCCATTCCATCCCCACCTTGGCCTTTGACTCCAGCTGACTTGGATCTTACAGTTGATAGCATGCATGCATGTGTGCATGCGCGTGAGATTATTATCTCCATCTCGCAGATGAAGGCATTGAGGCTCAGATGGGATTAAATGGCTTTCCCAGGATCTTACTACTACTGACCACCAGCCTTTGCCCCCCTTCCCCAGGTCTTGAAACAACCCCCAGCAGCACAGGGAATCCAGCACGTTTCTTTACCTAGTGACGTTTCAGGGACAAAGAAAGACATTGCGGCTACTTCCATCGAGAGCCCAAGATTTTCTTGATGTGCCTGGGCTGGCCACTCACAAAAGTTCTGCTCCACTCTGGGGAAAGCCATCATTTTGGTCTTTGGTGGGGCTGCAGCCTGGTCCTTCGCAGGAGTAGAACTGTTGCGCCATCAGACAGTGGGAATTCAGAGGCCCAGGAAGGCCCCAGCTGTAGGGTTGCCTTGAGGGCTGATGGCTGAGTTCGGCCCAGAACTCAGAGCTCTGGGGCCTTCTGGATCCTGGCATGGGCACAGGAGGCTGCTGGGACCAAAATAACCAGGCCGGGGGAGGGTAGGTGGGCGGGCTAGGGGGTGGAGTGTGAGCACAGGCAGGTGGAGGGATGAGGAGAGCCAAGAGAGCCTGATTACACTTTCTTTTCCAAGTAGCTTCATCACATCAAAATGAATGGTTCCAAAGGGAGGATCTTGAAATGGTTTGATTTGAGATAAGCCTGGGCTTGAGGCCTGTCCATATGTGCAAGGTTTGGGAGACAAGATAGAAAGGAAGAGGGGCTCTTGCTCTGATCTGGGGGGAGAAGAGAGCCAGTCAGCACCTACCTTGGGGCCCAGATCCCTGTTGCAGCAGAAGGATGAGTCCCACCCCCTTTTACCTCCTCCCCACCCCCACCAGAGAGAAGGCCAAGATTTCTAATCTCCGACTTTCCCATCCCATTAGTCTTCTTCTTTGCTGACCTTTCTTTTTCCTCTGGGGCCAGCCCTCCTCACTCTCCGCCCACACGCGCACCTCACCTCTTCAGCTTCTTCCTTCCTGTCTCCTCTCCCTCTATTCTCAACCCAAAGGGTTGTGGGCACACCCTCTGTTGTCTGCCCAGGAGGGCAGGTGGACAGGAGGGAATGGGAAGGGACAAGCTGTTTCATGATGGAGCTGTCCCCAGCTGTGGTACTGCCCCGAGTCAGGTCTGCCGGCAGAGCACAACATGGCTGTGAGTGTGGGCCCGCAGCTCAGGCCAAGAAGGTGGGAGACTGGCCAGTTTGATTTTGGAAGTTGTCCTTTCTTTGGGCTTCAGGAGATTGAGTCACCTCTCTGAGTCTCATTCATCTCATCTGGGAAATGGAGACGCCACCATCTGACCTGTGTCATGGCATCTGGATAAATGTGCCAGCATGGCGGGTCCCACCAAGAAGTCCAGGAGAGGGAAAGGGGACTAACATTTGCTGAGCACCTATTATGTGCTACCCATCCTGCAGGTTTCACTTCATTCAATCCCCACAACAAGTCTAGGAGGTAAGTATTCTCATATCCATTTTAAAGGCTCAGGAACCCAAGGCTCAGCAAGCTTAAGTTGATTCTTTTTCTTTTTCTTTTTTTTAAGATTTTATTTATTTATTTGATAGAGAGAGAGAGAGCAGGAACACAAGCAGGGGCAGAGGGAGAAGGAGAAGCAGGCTTCCTGCTGAGCAGGGAGCCCCATGCGGGGCTCGATCCCAGGGCCCTTGGATCATGACCTGAGCCGAAGGCAGACACTAAACGACTGAACCACCCAGGCGCCCCAGTTGAGTTGCTTCTAAACCACACAACTAGTGTGACTCCAACCCAAGATTTAGACTCAGGGCTGCCAGCCTCTAGAGCTCATATTCCATTCACTGCCCCACACGGCCTCTCTCGAGCTGCTTCTTGATGAATGAGCCACTTTGGAGGGAGCGAGGTTCTTGTCCTTGGATGTCTATTGAAGATGCTGGATGACGATCTGACAAAGGTGTTATAGATGCTTGGTAAGAAGGAGGGATGAAGAGAGATTTGATCGTGTGATCATTCAGACCCTTTAGGAAAATTCTGTGATTTTCTAAAAGCAGCAGAACTATTATTAAATAATTCAGAGGAGCTGAGGCAGCCAGGCTGAGCAACTTCAAACACTTCAAGAGAAGGCACGTCCCCAGAATAGCCTTTTGTAGCTGCTGCAAGGGGCCAGGAAAAGGCCACAAGGTCTTTTCCACATGTCTTGATTTAGTGCCAGAAAAAGCCTATGGAAAACAGCTTCCATCAGCCCAGGCTTATCCCTGCGGCTGAGTTACAAGGCAGGCCCTGCACTTGACAGCTCTGATGTCTCACATCCCAGCTCGAGGGCCATCTTTGTCAGCATTCCTGGAGCCCAGAGGGCACCATGGGCCCAGGATCCTTCATCTTGCACGTGGCTGCCTGAGCTAACCTGTGCCGACAAGGAAGAAGTGGGTCAGAGGGATGGAACAGCCCTGTGTAAGCCCTGTCCCACTGCCGCCCCCATGCTGGCTGAGGGGCTGCTCAAAATGCCAGCTGGAGTGAGCTTTCCATCCCCGGGCAGCTGGAATTATTTGTCCCCAACTTTGCAAGGAGAAACTGCTATCAAAACTCCGGGCTGAGGGCAAGAGGAGGCTGCTAATGAGCAAACCTGAATCCGGTCCACATCCTCCCGGTCGCTGAGTCCACTGCTGCTCAGGCTGAACAAGTTTTAAAAGCCTAGCCCTAGGGCGTCCGGAAATTGGGGACTGAGGAGACCAGGGGAAAGGTGGGCTGGAGCCAGGGGATGCTGGAAAAGAAGGATATGGTTGAGAATCGCAGAGGCTGAATAGGTTGTAAGGTGGGGTCTCCGGAGTGGGTACCTTCATCTCATTAGAAGGGGTGGTGGTGGGCTTGCCCTGCAGGGAGAGAGGGGCTGAGGAGGGCCTTTGAGTTCTCTCCTGGAACCACTGCCCTAGCTGCTGGGCAAGTCAAGCTAGGTGTCTCTACCATGGCTTTCAAGGCTGCAGCCCATCCAGGACTCCAAGCCCTGGAAGGAAGGAGAAAGCTTGATGGTCTTAGGAGTTATATGTGAACTCTTCTTTGATGTAGTCTCCTCATCTGTGAATGACCCTCAGCAGGGAGCATTGCACTGAGTGTGAACCACAATGCTAGTCACTTTGTACACCATTTCCCTGAATCATGCAGGGATTACTGGAATCCTATGGAATCATTATTATTATACCCATTTTGCAGATGAGCAAACTGCAACTCAGAGAGTTTAAAAAACTTGACAAGACCACAGAGCTGGGAGATTCAAGCTAGCATGGACTAACCACCCCAGGTCTGAACAAGAATGTGGGATTTCTTACTCAGGCGGTGTTCAAAACCAATAATAGAGAGTGCTGGTTTGGAGGGGTTTGGAGAGGTCCTGCCCAAGGCAGGGAGCTGGACTGATGACCTTGGGGGCCTCTTCCAGCCTTAGTAAGCTCTGACTGACAGGACAGCTCTGGCCAAATGCTATAGTGGCCACACTGTCCTCTTGTTAACATTAATGGCTGAATTATTCTCTAAGTCAATGCTCTGCACTGCCCTTGGAGCTTGTGATTTATCCTTCTTGATGACTAGGCCCTGTTCTCCATCATGCTGTCACTTTCCGGAGTCCTCCCAGCTGCCAGTGCTCCCAGCTCCGTAGGAAGACAGTGCTGCAGTCAAGGCGACTGCCCAGGAGCCAGCTCTCTCTCTAGCATCCTCAGCTCACCCCCCTCACCTCTTGAGAAAATATCTTCTCCCTGTTTCCAGACCACAAAAAGAAGGCAGAGAGAGATGGCATCTCTGACTCTGAGGAAATGTTAGCATCTAGGCACTGCCCAGAGAAGCTTCCTTTTCTTCTGCTGCACGTCCCCAGTTCTCCCCTCTCCCCTCAGGAGCCATCGGCACTAAGAAAAAGTTAGGTCAACTAGTTCATCCTTCCCCTCCCTCGCTGCGGCAGCCCCGAGATTGCTACAAAATATAGCTTCAGTCTCATTAATCTCCCTCTCTCCCTGGCAGAAAGCGCCTGCATGGATCCCTTTTCCGTACGTGGCCTGGGTGTAAAGCGATTCTGGTGTTTCCCCGCCCCCTGCAGGAGCTGTCCTCGGTTCTGAAATGTTCGTCATCCTCATGCTCTACCTCTGGTTTGCCATCGGCCTGGCCTGCGCGGGCTTCTGCTGCCATCAGCTGCTGTTGATCGTACGGGGACAGACCCGCCACCAGGTGCGGAAGGGGGTGGCGGTGAGGGCCCGGCCCTGGCGCAAGAACTTACAGGAGGTCTTCGGGAAGAGGTGGCTACTGGGCCTGCTGGTCCCCATGTTCAACGTCGGAGGTGAGAGCTCCAAGCAGCGAGACAAGTAGCAGGCATTCCCATCATTTCTCTGTGTGTGCGTCTTGACTCCTCCTGAACATAAGACCATGGCACTCTTGTCTCCACCCATGACCCAATACAATCTTGAGCTGGTAAGGTCCTAGCATCCACCTCTGGGTCTGTGACCTAGAGAGAACAGTGTTGGCTGGTGGATCATAGCAAGAAGGAAAAATGGCCACCTAGGCACTGCTAGGCTCTTGGGAGCCAGCCCACTGTTAGGAGGCCTTGCTTTTGTTCCTTCCCCTTGGAGCCCCTGCTTGCCTCTCTGCCTGGTTCATCCATTCTCTCCCATATCTCATGTCGTCACTGCTATCACCTAGAACTCGTTCTCTCAGACACATGTTAGGAGTGGAGAATGGATTCTTGCTGTTGGTATGATGCTCCCCAGGACCCAGAGGTTGGCAAAAAATGTTTAAAATTAACATGTGTAAGAGGTAGCCAAGTTGGCTCTGCCAACTGCTTGCGAGGTTGAGAAAGGAGGGGTGTGTTCTTATCCTCTATGTGCAATTGTGAGCAGTAGAAGGGAAACTCAGCAGCTTACTGCCCCATCCCCAAACTGCAAGGCCCTTTCTCTGGGGAGACAGCAGCCAATGGCCAGGGATTTCCAGGTGCTGTCCCCTGTCCAGCCGGCCCCAGCTGGCTACCCCAACCCAGTCTGGGACCTGCCTGGATGCTTCTTTTCCCTGGCACTCTTCCAGATTTCCCCACCTTAATCTCCAGCCTCTGGGTCTTTGCTAGGTGCTGGGGAGGCAAGGAAGAAGGAAGAAGGAAAGGAGAAATACTGACAAATGAGAGAAGCATGTGACTGCATAACCATACAGAAGGGGACGTGTGTGGGGGGGGAGGGAGGGAGGGAGGGAGAGATGGTGAGGAGTTTTGTTGTGAAATAGACAGAGAATGCTTAGGGGAGGGGAGGAGAGAGGTCACACACAGGCTGGGCACTTGGATATTTGGGGAACGAGAAGGAGAGGAGCAAGTAGGTTCATTTCTGAAGGACATTCTAGCAGCTAAAGCTGTTCAGTGTTTGAATGGCTGCCTGGAAGGTAAAGAGTGCCCCACTGGAGGTATTCCAGCAGGGACTGGCCAGTCATCTGGCAGGCATGCCATGGAAAGAATTTCTGCACAGGGTCAGGAAAGGGAAGATCCTTTCCCACCCCCAAGATTCTAGCATCCTCTTTGGGATTGCTGGTCCAGAGGCAAGAACTATAGAGATGTCTGTGAATTATTTGCTTTCATGAAGGGGGCGAGCAGGCATGGAGGGGTCTGAAAATCATGATGCAAACTTTCAGGACCCTACCTAGCTACCAAGGAGGGAGTGTGTGGAGAGCCAGGACAACCTGGGTATTAATGCTAGTTGAGGGGGTTGGCATTTGAGGAAAGGGAGATGGAGCAGTGTCAGGGGCAGATGGGGACAGTGGTGGGGGAGCTGGAAGGTCATGCTCTGCTCTGAGAGGTGAGATGGGGAGAGTTGAAGCTCGGGAATGGGGGAGACCAGAATATGGGGGTGCAGTTGTGAGACCAGCCCTGCTTATCTAATTGGCTCTGGATGGGAGCACAGCTTTGTGTTCTGGGACCCAGAGGATCAAATCTCTGGGGCATGTTTGCAAGTATGAACAGCACAAGTGCCCCTTCTGACTGGATCCCAAGGTCAGTCTGCCATCCATGCAGACAGCAGGGCTGAAGCCCACATCCTACAGTGTCCAACTGGTGACCACAGTGACCCCAAGCATTGCCACACAACACCCTGATTTCTTGAGCAGTGTTTGGGAGGACTCTACCTTGGTTCTGCCTTCACGCCCCCTATAGGGCTAATGTAGAAATGGCACCCACCCCTGGCTCATACTCCCTCCCATATTCATTCATTCATTCATTCATTCATTCATTCATTCATTCATTCATGCATCCTACATATATTTATTGAGTGTCAACTATGTGCCAAGTCTCTTCCAGGCACTGATATACAATGATGAACAAGACACACTTGTGATGAGCACTGGGTGTTATATGTAAGTGATGAATCACTAAATTTTACTCCTGAAACTAATATTACACTCTATGTTAACTAGCTGGAATTTAAATAAAAACTTGAAACAAACAAACAAAACAATGATGAACAAGACAACAAGATCTCTGCCATCAGGGGCAACTTGTCACTGCCCCCATGCACTGACTCCCACGCCTTGAAAAATGGTTACTCTGCCTTCTTGGTGTCAGCAGGGCAGGTCATTTGGAAGGGAAGGATATTTGCAGAGAAAGCTGAAGAGGAGCCCAGGCTGACTGGATGGAAGAGTCATTGGGGAGCATCTTCACCCCCAGTTCTGTCCATACTTAAAACAGTGGGACTGGAAGGGATGGGAAGAGAGGCCCTGGGCAATCCAGGTCTTGGCTCTCTCCCAACCCCAGAGCTCAAGCTTGGAAGCTAGCCGTGCCATTCCCAGCCTCCTGGAGGCTCGGCACTGTGAGGCTTGACATGGGGAAAGGAAATAAAAGGGAGACCTGCAGGGTTTGACTCCTGGCAGACTGGTCAGTGGGTGGTGATGGTGGGGAGGTTGCCAGGTGTGGGACTGGAGTAACATTTGTACACATGGCCCTGTATTGTTGATGAAGAACATCAATAAAATATGTGGTGTTAAATTGGATTTGATGCGATCGCCCGGGCGCTGTGGCCGGTAGCAGGGCTGGCAAGGCTAGAAGGCACTGACGCAGTCCTAATAGCTGTTGAAATACTTAAGCTAAGTATTAAAATTACTTCTGTTCTACTAGGTAAATAACCATTGTCCAGACTCCCTGAGTAACCACCCCTGCTGCCCCAGCTGCTCCAGCGACCCCTCCTCGAGCCCCTGGCTCACCTCAGAATCCAGCGATGAAAAGGGCAATGCCTGTTACCTGCACAGAACCCCCAGGATCCTACTCCAGCCCATCAGCCAGTGTCCTTTGTGACCCAGCAGGGTTGTGCTGTGTGGTTGGGAAATGTATGGAAACTACCCCGGGGTTGGTAGCGGGTCTGTGTCCTGGGATCTATGGACCCACGGGGAGCAGGGGTAGAATGTCTAACCTGGGAACTTTCTTCCACTTCCTTCCACTCCTCTTCCTCTCCCACCCCTTCCCAGGTCAGAGGACAGGTGGGGAGAGAATGAAGAGGAGAAGCCACTTGGTTCTCCATCACAGCCAGAGCTGACCACCCTTGAGGATCAGCCAGGCTCCCTGATCTCTCAGCCCCTACAACACTTGGAGACTTTGGGCTACCCAGTCCTGGGGGCAACTGAGAGGGGGTTGGGCCCTGCAGGGAGGGAGTGGTCCCTGAGCGGGTGAATGAGCATGACATCTGATGCATCCTAAAGATGAACAGGCCTAGACTAACGGAGGACATAACTACAAAGTGCTAGTTCTGCTTGGGCTGGTGAAGAACCTTTGGCCAAAGCCAGTGTTGTATATGGGTCTGCATTCCCTGGATACATGCCAATGAGCAACCAAGAAGGCAGACCTTAGGTATGCTGGCTGGTGGGTGGGGGTGGCGGTGAGAGGTGGGGGGGTGGGGATGAATGGAAGCGTGGCTTATCTTCAGCACATTAGAGCATGGGCTGTCTACACTCCACAGGGCAGACACTCTGGCTTTTCACCATTGTATCCTGAATGCCTAGCAGGGGCAAGGCACATAGTAGGTGCTCAGTAAATATTGACCAAACAAGTGCTTAGATTTTGTGCTCATTTGCTCACTCCATATCGCTTCTGTTCTGTGCACACTGTGGGGCTGGAAGAGAGATGAGACAACACTGTCCTCCAGGGGTTCACATCCTGGAGAGGTTCCTGGGAGAGCCCAGAGGAGGAAGAGAGCCCGTCCCAGCTATTGGGACCAGGGAGCTTCCATGTGAACTGCAGAGGCTGGAGGGGTGGATGACATTTGAGCAGGCAGAGATGGACAAGGGGGCTTTCCAGAAAAAGGGAACAGGCCTGGAGCCTTGGATTGATCATGGGATGGTGAACATAGGGGACACCATAGAGAGGCAGAGGGAGTTAAATCTAGGAGTTGGGACCTGAGCAGAAGGGGCCTTGAATGCCAACTAAGAGATCTGGAGTGAAGTTAATAGGGGAACCATTGCAGGTTGTGAACAAGGGAGCTACATGATTAGAGCTGGATTTCAGAAAGTGGGACTTTGGTGGGTAGACTGGAACAGGGGGAGCACCCAAGAGGAGGCATTTGTTATGAGCTGAGGGTGACATAACCAGGGTTTGGGTGGGAATACTGGCTGTGGGCTGGTAAGGAAGGGAAGTGTCAGAGCCAATTCACGGACATGGAGCATGACTTGGAGGGGTCCATGGGGAGAAGGCCTGAGATGATCCTGAAGGTTGAGACAGGATGGTCAAGGTGACCTCAAAGGAAAGGCCTTCAGGAGCAATGGAGCAGGGAGAAGATCATGACCCTGGGGTTCAGGGTACCTGGGATCACTCACCTCTGTCAGTGGCCCATTGGTTGGCAATTAATGGTATCACTCTTAACTAACCACTCTGTAACCTCGAGTTGGAGGAAGAGATTCAGGGCAATCTGCACATCATGCTATGCAGCATGACCTTCTGGCTGCCAAAGCTGGGAGAAACCATCTGCCTGTGGCAATAGGGGTCACAAGTCCTTGAGGAGACCTGAGCCCCCATCTGCTATAATGAAGAAGCCAGTTGTAGGTCCTAGCAGCCATCTTTTAGCCAGTCTCCTTTCCCAAGAACGTGGTTGTCCTTGTCACTCCATGTCCTTGTCACTCATGCACGCACGCCATGCAGGATACTGTAGTCAGTATCCTGCAACTGGCCTCATTGCTCCCCTCATCTCCCTCCTCTGGGCATGCCCTCCAGGCTGCTGGGGAGGCAGCTCCTTCTGCTGGGGAGAAAAGAAGGGGCTGCGCAGGGAGCCAGGATATGTTGCTCCTGCCTTATCTGAGATGCTTTAGAAATGAGGCAGAACCTTGGACCTCGTCACCAACCAGGATGAGTCTGTTGGTGGCGTGGGGGGCCTGGGGCAGCTCAGTTGCTCCTGATGTTGGTTTCTGCTTCTGTCCTCATTCCTCTCTCTGTGGGGGGTACTGGCCCAGCTCCTCCATTCATTCCTCATTCATTGATGCCCACTCCATGCGAGCCATGATACCAGGAACCAGGAATGCAAAGATGAACGAGACCTATTACCTGATCTCGGGGAGCTCACAGGGAAGAGGACCAATTTCAGACAATTAGGAGGGAGAAGGACAGGGTGCTGCAGAAGCAGAGCACTCACTCGGTGGGTACGCTGGAAGACTTCCCAGACGGGACAATGTCAGGGTCATACAGGATGAATACGAGTTGCCAGACAGGAAAGCAGGGCCA